TACTTTTTCAAAAGCACGACAAGAGTTGATTCGTTCTATTGGTAGATCACCCATCATTTGAGAGACAGGTTTTGCCACAAGTTTAAAACAGTCTATGCAGTTGCGCAGTTCTTTCTGGACAGCTGATTCACGATGAGGTATCCAAAACTGCTGACGAATGAGGGATAAAACTAGTTCCTACCCAGCATGGAAATTGACCCTATGAAAAATGTCTAATGATTAAACATGTAAAATGATGATTCTTTGGTATAAGCATAGAATGCTTTTGTTCAAATTTAAGAGTTTGTTGGAGACGAAGACGTCCTCCGACACGAAGAAATCCCTCAGAGTCAAGGAATACATTCAAAGACTGAAGTTTGCTACATTTGGGAAAAGGCTTGTTACATTTCAAGAGAATAAGTTCTGTATGGTATTCTTCAATTTGTAACAATTTGACTACTTTTTTGATTGAGGTTTCTAATTCATCTGTGTATAAAGGCCCAGTAACTTTGGACATTGATTTGGAATTATGGTGGAATCTGAATATCCATGCAACAGTCCGAACTACTTTCATGTATGAGGAAAACTTATCCAAGAAACTAAGAGAATAATCAACACCAGTTGAAAGAACAACAGAGTCACTTAAGGATTCAGACTGATCAATAGGAACAAGTGGAACAGGTTGTCCAGAGAAAGGAGTAAATGAATTGAAAGAAGGATGGAAATAATGAAGCCATTTTGGACCAGCTACCCACTCTGAATTTTCAAGAAGTTGTTTCGGGTAGAGGCCTCTTGTTGCCCAATTTTCCGGGTTTAATTTTCCGAAATGTGATGCCAAGATTCTTTTGAGGTTAGTGTGTGAATTTTCCCAATCCTGTGTTGTACAAATTGATTTCCTTTTACAGGTGGATTATTTATCCAATTCAATGTAATGGTTGAGTCACACCATAAATATGTATCATGACTGATGTTAAGAGATTTCTTAAATGTATCTAGAAGTTCAGCCAGAAGCATAGCACCACAAAGCTCCAATTTAGGCAACGATATTGTTTGTACATGTACCACACGAGTTTTTGAAGCCATTAAGGATAAGTGTGGCGAATCAGAAAAAACACGTAAGTAGATTACCGCAGTACAGTAGATGCCTTTGAGGAGGCGTCACAGAACCCGTGAATTTCACAGTGTTTAGCATTTAATGTTTGAACATACCTGGGAACTTTTATTTGTTTGAGGCATGAAATGTCTGCTTGAAACCGATTCCCTCTATTAAGAATGTCTGATGATATCTCATCATCCCAGTCAAGCTCTGACAAACCCCAGAGGATCAAAGATGCGTGCGATGATTGATAGCATCTGTCTCTTTATGGATACCTGGTCTGATAAGACTGCTCGTACTTTAAATGAATCCTCGTTTAAATCCCAGAATAAGCCAAGAACTTTCTGGGTGGACTCATCATCAAATGAATGTGAGTAAATATTTGTCTTTAGAGTATTTGGCTAGTCTGACAAGACTTCTGGATGAGTGCACGGCCATTTCCGCAGCTCAAAACCACCAGCTGACATTAAATTTTGCAGTTCGTCAACAATTTTCCTAGCCGAGTCCAATGAGTAAGCACCGGCTAACAAATCATCAACATAGAAATGATCTTTTGCGAGATTAGCTGCCTGTGGAAAACGATGTTTTTCATCCTCACATAATTGTTTCAATGTTCGGATGGCGAGAAATGGGGCACAAGAGGGGGGTAGGTAACTAATGGGGCATAGGTAACTAACATAGGTATTTAATTTGAAAATCCCTAATTGTTCCTCTGGAGACTTCCTCCAAAATATTTGTTGAAAGCATACATCATCTTGTGATATTAATATCTGTCTATACATTTTTGCAATATCAGCAGAAAAAGCAATTGGGAGGAATCTGAATTTAAGTAAAGTTAGAAAAATGTCTGACTGTAGTTTTTTACCAGTCAGCAGAATGTTATTCAAAGAATTTCCATTTGTACTTTTGAATGAGCCGTCAAACATCAGCCTTAATTTGGTTGTGAAACTATTATCATTAATCCCACCATGATGTGATAAGAAATAAAGTGGAGATTTTACATTTGATGCGAGAGGAATCATGTGACCAAGGTTTTGGTATTCCTCCATAAATTCTGTGTATTGTTCCTTTAATTGATTTTTAGAGTGAAGTTTTCTTTCAAGAGAATAGAATCGTTTTAATGCACTCTCTTTATCTCCAAGACTTTAATCATCTCTAAATGGCAGTTTTAGAATATATCTACCATCAGCATTACGAATATGAGAATTTACGAATATAGACTCACATAGCTCATCCTCATCCTTTGACGGAATGTCCTTAGGACCAGATCCAAGTTCCCAAAATTGTTTCAAAGAATGGTCTATGTTTAAGAGAGTGTGACAGATTAGGGATGAGTTTTGATTATATTGTGTATGTATGGTACCAGACAATAAATGACCTCATTTTGTTGGCAATGCTGATGGTGTACATTTGGGTCCCATTATAGGAGTCCCTGAAAAGAATGTCATAAAAACATCAGCACCCAGAAGAATGTCTATTTCATTTTCAATATAAAACGTTGGATCATCAAGAGTTAGATCGTTGATATGAGGCCACTCATGATATTTAATTGGAAAGTTTGGCATAGCTGAAGTGACTTTCGATACTAACAAAGCAGTTACTTGAAATTTATCACAGGAAACACAAGAAGAAAATTCAAAATTTGTCGAATATAATGAAGTTTCAGTAATTGTTTCATTTACAACTACTAATTTATGATTGGTGTGTTTTTTAATGGCAATTTTAAGCGATCAGCACATTGCTGGGAAATCAAAGAATTTTGAGCAGCATTGTCTATCAAAGCAAGGCAAGTTATTTGTTGACCATGTTTAGATTTAACATTTATTAATGCTGTGGACAACAATACGTGACCTTCTGCCGATTGTGTGCAATTGTTAGACACTGTCACAACAAAATTTGCTTGAGTATCTGCAAGAGAATCCTATTCTACATGTGTCAAGCCTGTGGTTACTCCTCAAACAATTGGTACGTAAATTATTGTTCTGTACCACTTGCCATCTTTCATTTACATTCATAGAATTAAAAGTTGGACATTTGAATAAGGCATGGTTTTGACAACATAGAATGCAATTGTTACCTTAAACAACATCTGGTTTTACATCTGATTTTACTTGGTTACATTTGACAACAGTAGTATTTACATTTGACTTGTTAAATGAATTTAATGGTTTAACATTACCTTTCTAAATGTCAGGTTTTACAAATTTTAACTCATTCAGACCACGAGCTTCTCTTTCAAAGAAAACTAAATTCCTCAAGAGTAGGAATTTTATTATTTTCCAAAGATAATTCCCACCGTTGACTAACACATGCATACACTTTTGAAATGAGAAAATTTATTATGATCAACTCTGTTAATGAATTTGTTTCTAAATCCAAAGTTTTCAAATATCGAATGACTTCATTACAAATATCTATTATTTCCAAAAGCAATTTTGAAGTATTTGTCCTGGAAATCTTAATACTAAATAGCTTATTTATTTGGCTAAGAGATAGTTGTCGTTTGTTTTCATACTGACTGCACAGTATATCCCAACAATTCTTAAGATTGTCCACAGTAATTGCAAAACCCCGAATTAATTTGGATGCATCCCCTCGAACAGAAGCCTACAGATACCGCAATTTCCATAAAAATGCGGAACTTCAAGTTTTGGTAGATTAACTACTGAAGACTTTACATGAATACTATTATTTACTTCCTCGAACCTGAGCTTTTTGTTCCAGGTCAACAACCCAATTGAATAGTATATTTTTATATTTCATATAAATATCAAATGATTCATCACTTTCATGAGTTGACAATTCACTGAATTTTCCAGTTAATCTAGTTTCGTATTGCAACACTTTTGTTTTTAAAACACGTATGCGTGACTTATTATAATCGCATTCGTTTATCCTACTTTCAAAAGCTTTTAATTCTTTTATAATTAAATCAAATTTACCAATATTTTTCGACTGTTTTTGAGCCATCATTTATGAATGAAATTTTAAAATGCTTATAAAAATGAAATTTTAAAATTCTACACAAAATACACAACTATACCATAATAAAAAGTGCCTACGGAATGCAAGTACAAAACTATCAAAAAATGTTTATACAAAATAGAATAAAAGAATAAATCTAGAATCAAATAATAAACAATATCAATCAAAATGTATAAAAATACTTCAAGAATTCGTATCAGAATAAATGCATCAGAATAAGAATATCGAGTATGAAAGGAATAACTGAAATAACAAAGAATAAATCACATCAAGAACTCTGAACTCGACGGACCACATGTAATGAATGAGAATAAGAATAGATTTAGAATTAGGATCTAGGAATGCTCGACACCTAAGTACATTTCCCATACAAGCTTGAGGAAAAAATAATAGGTTACGCTGAGTCATTTAGAAACACGCATAACTTTTCCTGTATATATTTGCAAACACACACGCACACCGCTACATGTAGAAAAAAACATTGCACAACACATAATCACAACAAAACGATGCTTCTATTACACAAGAATACGAATAGAATGTCATTTCCCGCTAATCACAAACACTTCTAGAATAAAGAAAAGTTCAGTTCGTGGCGCCATCTGTGAACGGCGAAAGGAGTCAACTGCTCTTAACACCTACTATTGGACCCCTCCCTTTCTCTCTCTCTCTCTCTCTCTTTATATATATATATATATATATATATATATATATATATATATATATATCTTGTTCAAATTTTTAATCGTTAATAAATTACTTTCTATTTATACATTCAAGTTCAAATACATTTTTAAAAAAAATTTTAGTATATTACAATCGATGTTACTACAGTTTTTTTCAAAAATAGATTCATTCATTAAATTAAAAAATGAATAAATTATAACAAACAAAAAATAATAGTCCAAAAGCATATATAAAAAGGAAAATTGTTCGTTGTGTCCCTGTAGCGCAATGGATAGCGCATCGGGCTTATAATCCTGAGGTCATGAGTTCAAATCTCACCTGGGATGGTGTAATTTCTGATAATGAGATTTCTTTGTTACTATACTATTTTATTGGAATAACTAAATAATTTAAGAATGAATAATGACAAACAAACAAAAATAATTTGCCAACGCCATATATAGAAAGGAAAATCGCTTTCTATTTTGCCACTTAATATTTTGAATCCATTACATGTATATGCATATTTATATTAATTGTAACTATTTAATAAAAGTAACTAAAACGAAAGTTTTCTTTGTTGACCTTTGTAAGAATTAATTTATTTTTTTTATATTCCTTGTCGATATTAAACTCGGAAGTTCAAGGAATAATCATCTCCACATAAACTTTTACTGGAGGGCCTAAAGAAGAGGGCTCAAAAATCCCTCAGAGAATTCCTGCATTACACCACGCAGATCTCAGACGAGCGACTCACCTTTTGCTATCTGAAACGCCAAAAAGACGACATTCCCAAACTGCGCACCCCTAGGGGGGCGAGCCTATGGAAAAGTCGAAAACAAAAGAATATTTCAAAACATTAGTAATTCTTTTGAAAGTATAACAAACAAAATACATTTTCTCATGATGAAAAAAATAATACATTTATAAATGTAACAGTATAGTTAATACTAAGTTAAGAACAAGTTTGAGGTTGGTCATATACATAAAATGATATGCAAAAATTAACACTTATCTGGAACATTTGTACATAATTAACCCCTTAACTGCAGATTAAAATTTACGTGATTCACTCCCCAATGTCACCGTTTTGCACGTATATAGGGTGTATTTGGAGGGGAAGGAGAAAGGAAAAATAAGGAAATGTTCTGAAATAATCCTTCTAAACTAATGTTAAGATCATTCTATTGCATTCCAAAATCTTCGGAATAATTTTATGGATAGTAGTGAACATATTTTAGAAAGACGTATATATACGCCTGGGGCAATGTACGCGCTGGATGAGCGAGACGTTTATATACGCCGGTGGCAAAGAGGTTAAAGACGTATTGTAGGTTTAGCGTCAAAGTATCGTATTATCGAATTCAAAACATCATTACTGTATGGGGGGGGCGATGAAAATTATGATTGAATATCGGGTCGCAGGCATTGAAAGTTTGAGAAACACTGCCTTAGCCTATTTCTTCTACAGAATAATGTAAATTATACATAAAAATATATTTTGTAAATAATGAGTTTCGTCACTAGGCCTTCTGATCTGAAGTTAGGAAGAAGTATTACGAAATTGGAGGCCCTTAAAATGCAACCATTCCCAATCTTCTTTTAACTTCCCGATGTTCTCATCTACAATTTTAGGATTGATACCTCAAAAGTCCGTAGAAGTTGCATTCGTCTTTCTGTATACGAGTATTAACCGTTTGCCTGATTATCCCGAGTTATCTCGGGTTCGTATGTATTGCATTTAATTATTATCCCAAGAAAACTTGGGCGAAGCAGAATTTGTCAGTAAGATTGATTTTTCTCGGCCTGGAAGAAACGAAGGGAACTATTTAGTTTTGATTGGCAGTTTGTTGATTTCTCAAATCTTTTGGCCGACCAGGTCACGTGATTTCCCTACACGTCGGTTTGTGGATCACGTACAGTGGTGCAGAGAGGAAAGTTCCGTTGAGTGAAAAAAGTAAAATAACGGCGATGGCGCAAGATAGCGAAAGCGATGATTTTTCAAATAGCGATTAGGAAGAGGTGGACATTGAAAATAGTGCAAGTGATGCTTCTGTATGTAGCCTATATTTTGTACTGTAAATCAGGTTCCCGATCACCTAAACAATTTAGAATGCAACTGATTGAAAAAAATAAATTCAGAACATCATCGTGACGAGTTTTGTGCCACATCAGGAAGACCCAGCATTGGTCCATCACCGCTCAGATTTACTTCAGGACATTTTCCAGTTGTTATTCCTACTACTGAAAAAAAAATCAAATCCAACGAAACAGTGTCCTCCCGTAAAAAAAATCTCAGATGTAAAACAGTAAGAAAAGAGACCAGATACCAGTGTACAGAACGTCAAGTATCACGTTGTGTTGTCCTTTGTTTCAAAAATTATCACACACACAAATATTAATATTCAACTTTTTTCCATTTGTTCGAGATAACTCTCGGGATAGTAAACTAATATTAAAAATAAATGCTTTTACACCTGTAAAAAATTAAAAATTCAACTCAAAACCTACATATTTTGTTTTGTTTCGATTCCTTGTATTTAGTAATGAAATAAAAAGAAATGTGATGGGTTTTTTCAATTTTTTTTCCAAAAAATGGTAAAGGGAAGCGGTTAATATAAAATACGAACAAAATATTCCCCACTTTATAAATGCACAAAATTTTCCAATTACTTAAACCCATTCAAGAAATAAAAGTTAACAAAACTAATTAATCCTGCGATATGTGTGTGTACAGTGGCGGGGGGCGCGAGACCTGAACTTAATGTGGACAAGATACATTTCGCGAGGCCCTCTGGTGGAGTAAGAAGAGGGTTTGTAAAATAAAAAGCCAATTTATATTCATAAAGAAAGAAACCAAACTTTTTACACATATTTATTTGGCACATTAAATATTAATGAAAAAAATAATAAAGAAAGAAACAGAAATTTTCTACGTTTAATTTTGCTGAAATTCTTAATGATTGGTTTGTAATTTATCTTAGATGCTACTTCTGCTTCAATAGTAGCAAAAACTGCCAACATATTGAGTAATCTTTCCTGACTCATTGTAATCCTTACATAATTTTTTATCAGCTTTGACTTTGAACAGCTCATCTCAGTAGAAGGGGTACTTGCAGGTATTATTAACAAAATTCGAAAGACAATGTAAATATTTGGGGAAAATTTCTTTCAAATCGTTAACTACGACATATTGGAGCAGATGTTTCATGTCTGTAGTGGTGTTGGGTAAATGTGGGATCCTATTTTTGTAATTCTTCATAGAATTCGTAAAGTTGGAAGAGTCAATAATCTCACCCACTTGCAGGAAATCTCGACAGTTTTTCTGTATTGGCTCTTTTGGAATATTTTTAAACTTCTTTAAGTCATAGAGAAAACCAAAATTTTCGAAATGTTGTTTTAAAGACATAAATCTTGAATCCATATTGCTTATCACAGAATTAATCATGGTATTAAAAAAGTTTGTTTCATATACCGGCTTTTGACTGACTCTAGGTTTATCGCCACCTTCATAATCAAACATTCTTTTCCTTTTGGCTACCCTTTTATTTTTTAAATCTTTTGGCAATTCATAACTGCTTTTTTCAATAAACTTACGAGCGTCAGACTAACATTTTCCGAATCTAGTTTGTCGATACTCTTTGATCCAGCTACAAAATGTACACAAATGTTCAAGAGGTAATGCATAAAGTGTCTTGCACATATTGCCATAATTTCCTTATGGTATATAGACACGCGTTAATAACTCATACCATACATGCAATGGTTCTATAAATTCCAAACTGAACATTTCATTTAAAAAGGAATCCCAATCACTGAGTGTGTTGGATTGTTCCTTTTGGTATTTTAAGTTTTTAATGAATTCAAAAACATTATCAAATTGCAATATTCACTCTATATCATGACCGGTGAGCATCTGTCATGGAAAAAATACACAATCCCGGGTCAAAACTGAAAAATGCTTGTTTCGCTACATCACAGGCATCTCTGTTCACAGGTGAATAACTAATCTCGATCTCTTCATCTTCATTGTGACTTATGTTTCTCAACGTGAGCACAGAAATCTCAGTGTTAGATTATGATTGGCAAGCTTTTAATCAGCAAGCTTGGCACACATTTTTTTCTATTTCGTCGTTCGGTATCTATAATCGGTGCATCTGGAGTAGCTTCCAAATTCAAAGGAGACTCGGATGCAGAAGTCGAAGAAACGAATTAATATGATTCTGTACTGCCAGATTCAGTCTGACTGAGAAATTTCATCCTACCTCAACTTTAAACCTGGTTGGATGCAACTATTTCCGCTTTTCTTTTTCATTTTGCTCTGCATTAGACTCTCATTTTCTCCCTTTATCTCTATCTCTCTTAGTACCTAAATCTGATATAATTGATAAATTATGAAAAATGCCCAGTACCACTATTATTTATTTTCACATCAAATACTTTTAAAATTTATAATATGATACAGAAACATGAAGCGATAGCGTCGCTGACTGCGGTGCCGTAGAGATTGGGCTCGAATCCCGGAGAAAACATTGATGTTTGTAAATGTATAGTGCCTTTGCGGCATGGGGGATACTCTAAATAGCTGTGGAGCCGCAAGTCCTCTCGTGTGGTTGGTGGAAAGGAAAAGTTCCCTGGCCACCCCCAGAGTTTTCTCCCACTAAATTGGGGTGTAATCGAGCCAAATCGTACTGTCACCTGCATGGTGCTCAAAGCTAAGGCTAACGACAGAAGTAAAAATTCTAGGCCTTGGCCACGATTCATTTCGCGGGCCTCAATCTAACTTCGTCAGGCAGGTGGCATTAGTCATAACAACAACAACATGAAGCGAGACTGCATCTACATGTGATACGCTTTCTAAAGATGGAAAATCCCGAGCTATGCCCTGTCTCTGACCAGGGACTCCCCGCGATAGCAGCTTAACTCCAGCGAATGACTAAATATGAGCGGAAACGACACATGTTGAGAAATTTTAATAAAAGAAAATGGAAAACACGAATAATTTATTCACGCACCCATAAAAAAAATGGATGTATCGATTTTTCGACATCTTATGGCGAAAAACAGATGGAATTTTCTAATTTATTAATCATAAAAAAACCCTGTGGCGTGCACTTTTGAGTTTACCTTCCTTTTCATTTACATATACAGATAAAATATATTTAAATATACAGATAAGTTAAATTATGTTTTATCTGGAAAATCATCTCATTCCATTGTTATCCTACAGAGTAAGCAAACATCCGTTTATCAATAAAAATTAGACAACACAGAAGTCGAGCTTCATTTTTGCAAATTATTTTTGCTTTGTTCCGATTTCATCATCAGTTTCGGTGGCTCTGTTGTT